AGGGGTCTCTGGTAGGGGTTCTGAAGATTTGTCCCCCTGCACTGCACTGTTCCTGCAAATGGGACTTGACCCTCACCCATAAAAGGATATGGGGAAGGGGAGCCTCAAGTATGATAGGGGTTGATATCAAGTTCAGGTGTCAGGTGGGACAAGTAGGCCCCTGCTCAGCAGGAGATGGGATGGAAACAACATACGGAAATAGGTTATTGAGACAAACTGGTTGAAGTTGAACCAATCTTTTAGGGAGGCTCAGCTCTTTCCATGAAGCCTTTGCACTCCTCTAACTGGATTCTCAGGATTTGTAGTTCAGGAATTTCACAATTTTTATTTTCACGTATTTTCTGTGGCTTCCTCCCCCTAACTCCCCACTTTTTTTCTTTTTCTTTTTTAAAGTTCCTTTTAAAAATGATGACCTCGTTTGAGGATTTGATGTTGAAATTTAACCAAGAGGTAGATCTAGGATCTGAGTGCAGCCACTTTCCCCCCCTGAACCCCAGGCCCTTCTATGCGCTGCTTCCTGGGTCTCTCTGTGGGCCGGTCCCACAGGCGCCCCAAATGGAACATGTCCTTGCTGACCTCGTTTAGCAAACTGCTCCTCCTCTAGGCCCCTTGGTGCTACCATCCACCCTGCTGCTCTTCCAGAAATCTCCTCCCCACCCCTCATCCAGTCAGCCCCTTCCTGTTATTTGATTCCCTAAATCTCTCCAATACGTACTTTTCTTTATCCCCACCACCACTGCCCTAAAGGAGGCCATCATTTTTTTCCCACCTGGGTTCCTGCAACAGCCTTCCAACTGGTTTCTCTGCCTCTGTTCCAAGACCCCAGACTGAAGCTGGCACTGGACAAGATATGGTCCCCATCCACTACACGGTGGATGGGACAGACTGACTCATTCTTATGATATGATTGGTGGGCCCAGTCTCGAGAGATCATCAAAGGCTTCCCAGGGTGTCACCTGGGTTTAGCCAGGAAGGCTGAGTGGGAGTGAATGGCGAGAAGGCAGGAAATGCTTCTGCCACAGCTATGCTGTTTTACTAGTTTCTTTACTAGGCAGGCCCCTAGTGACATATATAACGAGTCCCTTCCTTTTCTGGATTCTTTTTTAACTTACACATTAATTTCTACTGAGTTTGCTCCTGAGACCTGGGGATTGCTTCTTACTCTAGCACAACTTAACTGATCCTGACTGATACACCCAGTCAAATCAAGGTTTGGGGGCGCCAAGGCCTTTATTCCTGTTGGGTATTTAGCATCTTGAGTCTCCGAGTCAATCAAAGCTCCCATCCTCCTGCCCGGCCCCCTTAGGTTGGAAGATTTCCAGGTTATTCAATCTCTTTCCCATTATGAAGGGGACACTTGCATGCTCCTTGTAAGTCATGTACCTATTTTATTGAACCTAAATTCAAACTGAAGTCACAGAAATAGCTATAAAACATGAAAGCATTTGCTGAGTTATCCAAAAGCATAATCTAGATACCCTACACGTGTCGCACTAACCAGGGCATGTCCAAAAGCAATGCACTAACGAATCTCCCTTTCACCAAAAGCAAAATGCCAGTTTCTTCCCCCAGAACAGCCCTGGCACTGGTAGGCTAATTTCAGAGGTCCTGGATTGAAGGCCTGATTCTGACACTTAGTAGTGAATGACCTTGGAAAAATTACTCCTCTGAGTCCCAGTTCCCTTATCTGTAAATGGTTATAATAACAATAATAATTATGTCATAGAAAGAAAGGGAAAGTAACATTTGCACATTTGGTGTACGAGCCACTCTGCAGACAGAACTGGAAAGGGTGTGGAAGTGCTTTGCAAAGGGAAAGCTCTATGCAGATGTAAGGTGATAATATTTTTAACCAACACATGACCAAAGAAGAACACAACAAAAATCAAATGAACGTCCCAATGCCTTCAGTCTTTAAAACGAAGCTCAGGTGTGGACATTGGAGTATATTTACATTTCTGCAAAAGGTCCCGTAATACAAAGCTCATTCTTCAACTAGGACAAATTGCTTATTAGCTAAAGGGAAGGAGTGAAGCCAAGTGCCTCAGAGGAGGTCAGTCACGTTCAATCATTTGCAGGTTGGGCAAACACCCAGCAGTGGCGGCCCCACGCAGTGGCTTCCTGAAGAACCACACGCGCGCACATCCAGTTACACTTCTTGTGTCCTTTGCCCAGTACGGAATTAACTTCAGTTCATCAACGGAAGCCCTACTTATTCCCCAGCCCCACCTCCGTCCCCATCCAGCGAAACGCCCCCTGCCAATTCTGTAGCGCCTGCAGTCCCTCGGGCTCTTCCTTCTCGAGACGGGATTTCCCTTTCTAGTCCTTGGGGCAGCAGCGCAGCCAGGTCCTAACCTCACCGGAGCAATTGCCTAAAAGGTTCTGCCCTCGGCCGCTGGGGGTGGGGCCGGCCAAGCCGATTTATAAAAGGAGCCTCCCGGGGTCTGCCTCCTCTAAGCGCCTCCGGCGTGATCTTGGCCGGCGCCTAGGTGCTGAACTTGCTTCTCGCCCGCTTCTCAAACTTGAGGGTGCAACGCCTGAAGGGCTTGTTAAAACATAACGCTGGGCCCCACCCCCAGAGTTTCTGCTTGAGTAGGTTTAGGGTGGGGTCCGAGAGCTTGCATTTCTAACAAGTTCCCCAGGTGTTGGTGACGCTGCGGACCTGGGACCACACTTAGTGAACCACTCACTGCCTCTGGTTTCAGGCTGCTTTCAGATAGAGAGGCTCGCTCGCCACCTCCACGCCGGTCCCAGCTGTTCTCCTGCCCCGAGCGCTGGTCCAGTAGGAATAACCCGGCAGCTCAGGAGGCTGCAGACCTAGGAAGGCAGGGCCTGAGGAGTTTGGAGTTCATTTTGAGGGCCCCTGAAGGGTTCGTGCAGGTAGGAAAGCAAGCAGGAATAAACCTTGGAAGCCTGTGGGTGCTTGGTGTTAACTGGGATATTTCATTTATCAGGCTCTACTGACCTCGTTTCTGCATTGAACACATATTGATTGGGTGCTTAGCTTTAGAGTTACAAAGGTGAAAAGACAGGGTCCCGGCCCCCCAAGGGCTCATAGTAACTGGGAGGGAAATGTGCAAATGATTACGATACTGATAAGATTTTCCTAGGGAGGCAGCGTCAAACTTCTGCGGAGGGAGAGTGTGTGGGACTCTGGAATCTGTCTGAAGAGCTGGAAGAGGTTTCATGGAAGAACTGGCATTTAAGCCGAGACTTGCAGGATAAATGGGAACTTGGCGGGTAGAAGGAGTAACTGGGAAGGGGTTGAAGTGGGAAGGGGTTTCCTTGGGCAGAAGGAATGAATGACAAGACTGCTGAAATACAAGGCTCCAGAGGGAGACTGACAGCACATCTCAGACCTGGGACTGGTTTTCCCTCCTACCTCTCTGGCAGCTCCTTCTGTCTCCTTTGCTGGCCCCTTGTCAGCTGCTGTTCCTCATGAGCTGGTGTTCGCCAGGGCTCTGGCCTGGCTGCCTTTTCTTCTCACTCTCCATGTCCACTCCTAGTGAGGTCCTCCACACCTGAGGCCTCACGAGCTGCTCCCTGTTGGGGCCCACAGCCCAAGCCTCACCTCCTCAGCTCCACACTCAGTTCCACGCAGATGTCCCCAGGCATCTTTCCTCCTGTACTCTGCCTTGGTGAATGGCACCAGCATCCATCTTGTTACCTAAGCCAGAGGATTTTGTAAAATGACCCTTTCATAGATAGCTGGTGAAGAGTAAACTGGCACAGTAAATTGCTGGTGCCATTCACCAAGACAGAAAACAGGAGGAAAGATGCCGGGCTCAAATTCTGAGTCTACAGTTCACTAGCTGAGTAACCTTGGGCAAATTACTTAATCTATATTTCCTTATCTGTAAAGTGGGTTTAAAGATAGTATGTACCTCACAGGGTTTTTATGTGGATTAAACAATAATTGTTACTTATTAAGCACTTTTTAAGTACTTTACTTGGATTCCTTTGGAGATGATGAGTACCTTGTCCAAGGTCACTCTGCTACCAGGTGGCAGAGCCAGGCCTGGAACCCACAGTTCCCTGACTCCTAAGCCACCCTCTTCATTGTCACAGTATCTGGAGATTGTCTATCAAATAGGGAAATGCTTGCAATATAATGTTAAGTAAAAAGTGGACAGCAAGCTGCATAGCCAGTGTGAGTACAGCCATGTTATTATTTTAAAAAAGGAAATAATCTACAATAGAAAAGGCTAGAAGGAAATATAGCAAAAGGTTAAATGTTGTATTGGGGTTATTTTTGTCTTCTAATTTTCTATTGCCTGTTTTCTTTAATATACATAATTTTTACTAAAAATAAAATACTTAAAACGTTAAACATTCATTACATAAAAAACAAAGTCCACAAACTGTTCTCATGTTTGACTGAAAACTGCACTCTATTGGTATCTCTTCTCAGTTCTAGTCTTACTTCCCTGAACAGAAATTCTTTCCTACTCTCAAAGGCCAGAGTAGGAAGTAGGTATTGCAGCCATGTTCACCGCCTTCCCACAGCTGACAACCTGGCCACTGGAGCAGGCTGTCAAAATCAGGCCTGTGGGGAGGGAAGTTCCAGACGGAACCCGGGCTTCTCCTACTGCCTAGGGCTTTCTGGACAGCGCTACTTGAGATCAATTACTTTTTTTTTCTTCTTCTTTTAAATAACCGGCCGAATGCTCTTTTTCCAGTTTTGGCTGAGTTGTTAGCTTCATCCCGGTGGCGACGCCTGCCAGATACCTGGTCCCTTGAACACCGCCCAAACTGGTCAGGCCAGTCCGCCCGTGGTTGTTTCTGCCAGGACTTGCCCGTGTTTGGGTGTGTGTGGGGTGTGTGTGTGTGTGTGTTAGAGACCCACCCTTCTCCCCAGCAACCCAGGTAGGTGGAAGGAAGCTTCGGGGACCAGCCTGGCAGTCAGGCCCGATGGGTGGAGCTGAATTAATCTAACCTGGAATTTCAACTTGGCCTGAACAACAGGTGAGGGGAAAAAAAGCAGCAGAGAGAACCGGCAGTTTGGCAACTGGAAAATATTCTTACGCCTTGCCCCTTGTCTGGAAAATAGCCCGGGGTGACTTTTCAAAGTGTCTGCGCTGGGTTATAGGGCTCGGTTGCGCCACGGCCCCCTCGGTGCCTGTCCGAGCCCCTCCTGAACGCTGTCCTCCTCGGTTACCCTCCGCGACGCGCCCGTTTCCCCTCCTCTGGGAGGCAGGGCGGGGGTATCGGATCAGTCTTTGTTTTCGAAGCGAAAGAGCCGAGAGCGGCGCGGGGGAGGCTCGCGATGGTAGGGGCCCGGGGTCCGCCTGGGTAGGGCGCTCGGCCGTCACCCCCGCGAGGGTGCCTCCCGGCTGGCCCTCGGCCCCTGCTCGCGGGTATCCCCTCCTAGCCGGCCAGGCTGACTCGGTACGCAAACGCGCGATGTACCCCATTGTCCTGCCTCGGAATGAGCGAGCGAGCGGCTGCCAGGAGAGGGGGATCAGTCGGGCCCGGAGCTCAGGACTCCCGGGGGCGCCGGGGCCGTCCCAGGCCGCTCGGCCCGCAGGGAGTGGCAGGAAGTGGGGACACCGAGGCCAGCTCCGCCGAGGGCCTAGACTGGGAGGTCCGCGTGCCCCACCCCGCGCCGCCCGCCGCGCCCGCCCGGGCTGCAGAAGCGCCGGAGGGCGGTGGCGGCCAACCGGAGGAGGGCGGCCGGGTCCCGGGAGGACCGACCGCTGGGGAGGGGAAGTACTGCAGGTGCAAAGGCGCGGCGTCCGGGCCGGGCCCTGCCCCCACCCGCTCGAGGACTGCCCGCGCCGTCCCCTCCCCCTCCGCGGAACTCCCCCCTCGCGTAGCCCCGAGCCCGGCGGAGAGGGAGGCGGCGGGGCCGGCGGGGCTCGGCGGGGCTCGGCGGGGCCCGGCGGGGCCGCACGTGCGCGCCCTCCCGGGCGGGGGAGTCCCCGGGCGAGCACGTGCCGCGGCGCGCGGGGGGCGGGGAGTCCCGCGGACGCCTTCATTGCTGCTGCTGCTGCTGCTGCCGCCGCGGCCGCCGCTGCCTCTTCCTTCCTCCTGCGCCGTCCCCTCCTCGGCCCGGGCGGGGGGCTCCGTGCGCCGAGCTCGGCCGGGCCAGGCGCTCCAGGAGGCGGGCGCCCCAGGCGGCGGCGGCGGCCGCGACGGTGGTGGCGGCGGCGCGGGCCGGGAAACTTTGCCCCTTTGTGCGCTCCGCCCCGGAGGCGGCGGGCAGGTCGGTGCAGTCGGTGCCTTTCCGGCTCCGGGGTGGGGGAGGGGAGGCGTGGGGGGGGGGGCCCGGCCCGCGGGGGAGGGGACGGCCCGGGGGCCGGCCGGGGGGCCGCTACTTTGTTGCGGGAGACGAGGCGGGGGTGCTGTGGATCACAGTGTAGCGGAGCCGGGCGGGGGCGGCGGGGCGGGGCGGGGGCTGCGGAGCCGCCGGAGCCGAGCGGCCGAGGCCCCAGAACAAAGGAGCCCGAGAGGCTGTGCGCGCGCGCCGGGCCTGAGCCGGAGCGCGCCCCCCTCCTAGCGCCCCCTTGTCGGAGCGGGCCGCCCTCACGGGTCCGGCCGTCGGGCGGGGAGCGCGGCTGGGCGGCCGGCGCGGGCTACCCCGGGCGCGCCCCTCTCCAGGCCGCTTCCGTGCAGGGGGCGCCCGGGCAGCCCCGCCGAGTGAAGCTCTCTGCAAACTTTATTTTGAAAGCTGTGCTCCCTTGGGGAGGGCCTAGCGACCTCCAGTGAGGGGTGTGTGGGAATTTTGGCAAAACTCTCCCAAGCCCGTGGGGGTGGGGCGAAGGACAACTTTCTTAGAAATCTCACCTTGACCACCCCGTTAAATTCGCCGTCCAGGTTTCCTTACCACCCCGTCAGGCCCCAGGCCTTCTCCCTCAGGGAGCGGGTGCTAGTGTGCCCTGCCAGAGGTTCTGGGCAGAACTTCATGAGAGCAAGCCCATTCTCTTCCCCCATCTTCCCTTTTCCCAGAAGCAGGAAGAGGTAACATGTGAAAGTTGTCCCCAAGCCCCGAGTGATGCGCTTCCCCTTTCTGTCTCTTTTTCAGGCAGCGCTGCCTTCTCCATCATCCTGACCCGGGAGAAGAAATACCGGAGGAGAAACTCCTCACCCTGCCCTGCCCCCATCACACACCTACTGGCATACCTCATGCCTGGGTCCAGAGTGGGTGAGGGTGAAGAACCCACCCATCCAAGATGATCCCGTCTCTGGGGACTGCCGCTGGTGTCCTCCCCCAGATCCCGGGCCCCATCAGGTGGGAGAGTGGCCCCCAACTGAGTCCTATGAGACTGCTGCAGAGGAGGTGAAGAGGGGTTGAGAAGAGGCACCCATCCCGGAGCCTGGAGCTACTTGCCTTCACCTTGTAGATTTTGACTGCTTTAGGAGAGAAGGACCTGTTGGTGGCCTTTGGAGGCAGGGAGCTGGACTGTGGCTCTGTCCCAGCACCTATGCCCCCACCTCTGGCAGCGTCATGAGTCAGTTTCAGGTGCCCCTGGCAGTCCAGCCAGACCTGCCAGGCCTTTATGACTTCCCTCAGGGCCAGGTGATGGTAGGGGGCTTCCAGGGGCCTGGGCTCCCAATGGCTGGGAGTGAACCGCAGCTCCGAGGGAGTGGAGATGGGCGGAAGAAACGGAAACGGTGTGGTACTTGCGAGCCCTGCCGGCGGCTAGAAAACTGTGGGGCTTGCACCAGCTGTACCAACCGCCGCACACATCAGATCTGCAAACTGCGCAAGTGTGAGGTGCTGAAGAAAAAAGTGGGGCTTCTCAAGGAGGTAAGATGGATCTTGCATGGCTGCCCAGACCCTTCCTTGAGGGTGCTGTGTTCACAGGGGTCTTGCTAAAGCCAGTTAAGCCCACTCTCCCGCTTTGATCCTCCTGGTCCAACTTTGAGTGGGGCCATAAAAAGGAGTGTTGCTGTCTTTGGAAGCTGCTTTAGGCTCCTTTGCCGGGCTGACAATTGATGGGAGAGGAACCGGGTTGTAGAGGGCTCTGAGCTAGCAGTCTCATCTCTGATGTTTGCATTTGATGCAGGACAATGATATCCAGCTTTATCTCTAGAAGTTCCTTGTCCTGCTTGAAGCCTCAGATGTGTTTCAAGGTCACACCAATGCTTGGGTGATGTGGGGAGTGATGGTGTCAGGTAAGGGTTGGAGGCTGATGGGTTTGGAAATAAAAATTTGGAGTGACACGGTGTTTTTTATGCTTCCCTGATGGAGTGGGATGTTTCTTTCCCTAAATCTTTTTGGGTACCATCATTTTTGGGATGATACCTAAAAGTGTTTGGGAACTTAATGAGAAACCCATGATTTGGGTTCCCCTACTAAACAGTACTTCTTGAGGTCAAGGACCATTTATCTCTGTGTTCTCAGGGCCTGGCTCAGTTCCTTGGTGTGTAGTAAGGACTCAGATGCCAATTGAATGAATGAACGATTGTTTTTGAGACACTGTCAACCCCAGGAAGGAGTACTTCCTTAATTATGAGCAGGGAGGCAGAGAGAGGGAAGGAGCTGGAATGAGAGCAGAGGAGGAAGTGGAGAGGCAGTGGCCCTGCACTGGCCATCTTTCCTTTCCATTCTGGTGGTGGGCTGCCAGCATGAGGTTGGTAGCAGCTGTAACAGCGGAGAGTTGGCAGAGGTAGGGACGAGTGAAGTTGAGCAGCTTGGGAGGAGCAGTGTAGCGGCCGAGGTTGCTCCAGGCAGCGGAACTGGCGCTGGACAGAGACGGAGGCCTGCACAGTCTGTGGGACTCCCCCGCTCTGCCACTGATTTGTCCGAGGGCTCGGACAACTCAGGTCCCCTCTCTGGGTCTGTCTTCTGCCTGGGGGATGCAGGGGTTGTGCTTGATGGCCTTTGAAGCCCTCTCTAGCTGGGCTGGAAACCGCTGTACTTCTGAGAGCCGGGGTACCTGTGGCTTCCATGGGCTGGCGGCTTGCACTCGGGATTTCCCTAACTGCTGAGTTCAGAGCTGTGCCGCCAGCTTGGTGGGGCTGTGGTCCCGTGGCTGGGAAGAAAGATCCCAGTGTTTTGGTCAGGAAAGTGGGTGTTGCTGGGGTGTTTCTGCCCCTTCTCACCTTGTCTTGCCCACTCCCTGTGGAAGCTGCATATCACGGTCCAGGGACGGCGGACTGATGCTGTATTTCCCCGGTCTCAGGTTAAAGCAGACATCTGGATCACTTCTGCAGCTCCCCACCCCAGCCTGGGAGACTGTGTCCAGCTCCTTTATGTTGCTGGTGTTTGGGGGAGTTGGCATCCTGCTGGCCCAGTGCTCTGTGGGTCATTTCTGAAAGGGGGGTGGGATCAGGGGTAGGCTTCACTCCTGGGCATGAGATCTCGTGTTTTGGTATAAGTAGGACCTGCCTCGTCTGCCTTGTAAAGCTTGATTCCTTTGCTTGCTTCCTGATAGGGTTTACCTCCTTCTCTTCCACCTTTCTCTCACTCCATTCCTCTCAAACCCTGGGGGATGAAGCGGGCTGAGCTTTCTGGGCTGGAACACGTGGCTCTTGTGAACTGTGTTTAAGCTCTTCTTTCGGCAACAATGAGGCATACCTGAGTGAAAGGGGCTGGGAGTGAAGCCAGGGGCCTGTCATCCTTGTGTGTAAGCTGCTGGCCTGGGCTTCCGGTGGTCGTGGTTAAGAGACCGGGGATCTGGCTTGGCTGAGGCTTAGAGACAACCTGGCGGAGAGATGTCTGCATCCCTGTGGACCTTGCCATGGCCGGCTGCCCCTCTAGGCCCCCAGGGTCAGGAAAATGTGGCTGGTGTCCTGTGATCCCCCCTGGACAGAGGGTCCACGTGCTGATCTGTGCACCTGTGCTGTCCCATGACAGAGCTCTCCCAGTTTTTGGAGAAACAATGGAAAGGGGACAATGGAGTGAGCTTTGTCTTAAAGTTAACTTTCTTTGACTTAAAGAGCAGTACTTTGTTTTAAGGATAGATACTTTCTATTTCTTGATGTTTAAAAGTGTGCTATTTTTTAATGAAATGGAGGTGTTGATAAAAATTAGATCTATTTTTTTTTTAAAGTCTTTACTTGGCAAAATACAAAACGGTAACTAGTGTCTGTCTCCACAATTTTTTTAAATTGGTCCTTGAAGGCTGAAAGTGTGGGAACCACTGTCCAGGCTACACTGCATTTGACGAATGTATCTCTGGCAGAGTTGACAGGCCCAAGAGGCTGTGCCTGAGTGAGGGAGCCCAGGGAAGCAGCCCAGCGTTTACAGCCCCCAGGGAACTGCTGAGACCTTCACTAGGTCTGAGCAGCCATGTAGCAGAGGGGACCTGTCCCAGGATTTGGGAGGTCAGGAAAGGAGGAGACCCATAGAACTTTATTGTTTTTCAAGCTGTACATGCTGTTTATTTTTTTACTTTTATTTATTTTTTTATACAGTAGGTTCTTATTAGTTATCCATTTTATACATGTTAGTGTATACATGTCAATCCCAATCTCCCAATTCATCCCCCCCCACCACCACCCACCCCCGCCCCAGCCACTTTCCCTCCTTGGTGTCCATGTGTCCATACGTTTGTTCTCTACATCTGTGAGACCCATAGAACTTTAGAACTTGGCCCCTGCTCTTCAGGTGGGACAAGACACAGCATCCCAGGAGCCTCTTGGGAATCAGACCCTCTCTTTGCACCTGCGCTTCTCAGCGTCTCCTCTTCTGGGCACCTTTCTTTACTTCCATCCTGTCTCTACGTCCTCCAGCTTCCTTTGGGGCTTCTTCTGAGCTATCTGCTGACAGCTGCTTTGTGTCGTCCTGGGAGAGGGGGAACATTATCTTGACTATCTTGTCTTCCTTCCCTGCTCCTCAATTTTTTACCCAGTGCGGGTAGGTGGTGCTGCAGAGCCCATCTACTCAGAAAAGTTCAGCATTTTAGTAGTAGAGGCAGCTCCCAGGGTTGGTCCTGTCCACCACAGATGTAGGTGACTACTTACTTCTCTGGGCCCTAAAGAGAGGTAACACACCTGAAGGTGTTCATTCCTGTAACTGAGGTCTTCCTTCCTAGTTCCAGGGAGGATTTAGATCCTAGGCTGATGTCGGAGGCTATTTGACTTCCACATTCTTTTTACCTGAGTGGTGGCTTGTAGCACAATGAAGACGGGTGATTGGAAAAGTAGGATTTGGTGAGTGTGAAGATACAGAACCCAAAGTAAGGGCTGTGCCGCTGACTCTCTTGAGCATTGGTGTTTTCATATGTCAGATGGGTTAACCCTTCTTTGTGAGGATTAATTGAGATAAAATATGCAGAACATCTAGCACATGGTAGGTAATCAGTGCACGGTGACAACACATGCCTAGAACATCTAGAAAAGAATTAATCTTTATGCATAAAAATTGTGTCTGTTAGTCTCTGAGCTTTAATTGTTTATTAAATGTTTGTTTCAAGACATCCCTGCTTGCTTATAGAACGGTGGGGCCAGGCAAAGGGAGGGAGACATTTGCCGGCCTCTGCTGGGGGAGGAGGCTGGACACCCAGGAGCAAGGAGCCGCTGTGGCCCAGGGCCTGACTGAAAAGTTGCTCATGGTGAGGGACGTAAATGTCTGATAAAAAGGGTAGGAGAAAACCCCTTTGTGAGAAAAACTTCCCTAGAAGTATGTATACATAAGGCTGGAAGCATGACCGAGAATGTTCTGGGTGAGAAATGAAGAGAAATAGAAATATATATGGTGTGTCTAGCCCTCAGCCAGTTGGATTTAGTGGCTGAAACAAAGCTCTATGCCAGTTTTGAGACAGGATACCTTGGAATTGGGGATCTCTCAACAATATCAGAACCTGACCACTTCTTGCCTCACCTGCTAGTAGCTCTGGCTTCCTGCAGATGGAGGCTATGAGGAGGGATGCTGTCAGGCTGGCACCAGTTCCCACCAGCAAAGGAAGAATTGATTGGTAAAGTAGAAGTGATGAGACTCTTTAGAGAAAGGGACCCCATCTCAGCATTTCTGAATCCAGTGAGAAGCTTGGTCAAGGAGAGGTGTTTACCATAGACTTCAGAAAATTGTTTTTCAGTTGTAAACAGTTTTAACCCCATGGCTACAGACTCTAAAAGGGAAGTTAGCTGGAGGGGTCAGATTGCTTTTGAAACAGGAAATGCTGACTTAACGGTCCTAAATGGTGCCCTAAGGAGGAAGGTGGTGGGACTGGGGAAGATCTGAACCATCCATGTGGCTGCTTGGGCTGCTGTCTGTGAGTGCAGATAGTAAAAGACCATGCTGTTTACATGGAAAGGGGTGCGCTTCAAGTGTAGCCTGACGCTTTAAGAGGGACGTAAGGGAGTCCAGTGGCCAGAATGTGCTGAGGTGGTGGAAAATGCTCAAGACAATAAAAGGCTTTTATATATTCCCAGCAAGAGCATAGAAGGAAGAGACAGTCTTACAGCTTTGGAGCAGGACTAGTGACAGAGAGAGAGAAGCCACTAGATCCCTGTCATGCCAGGGAGTATAAACTGGGGAGAGACCACAGCATGTGTGGTTAGGAAAGGAGAGCCAGCTACCCTACCTGAATCTGAGTCATTCACTCCCTACTGCACACCTTCAGATATACTCATGGAATGATATCGTTATGGAATTCTGATGATTGGAAGAGGGCCAAAAGACCAGAGACAGGCAGAAAGTTCCATTTTTTCAAAGAGATTTTGGAAATTGTAAACCAATGTCAGTTTTTGACAGTTCTAGAGCAGATTTTTTAAAAGGTGGTTCGTGAGATTTAGAAAGACAGTGGTGAGCTTTGAGGGTCCCTGTGGTTCTTTACAAAGAAACTCAGTCAAACCAATGGGCCTGGATTTCTGCAGATAAATGTTATTTCCTGCCAGCTTCGTGGACAGATCAGAGGACCAGTTTTTATTTAAAGTCATCCTGAAGAGGGCACAGGTATAACTGCCTTGTTCAAACTTTTTAATCAACCAGTGTGGATCAGGGATTCCATGTTGGGATCACCTGGATCCCACCCCCATAGATTCTAGTTTGATTGGTCTTGGGTGGATCTCTACTGGGCTGGGGCTCCCCAGGTGTATCTAATGTGTAGTTACAGTGGAACTCCTCTGACACAGATGAGAGCTGAATGATGGGCACCCACCAGGACTCTTTACTGCAAATTGCTCACCTGAGTCTTAGGGCACCCGAATGGTTTACAGCCATACTTACTCGTTGCTAATCAGTGGACCAGCAGCCTCGGCATCATCTGGGACGTTGTTAGAAATGCAGAATCTCAGGCTTTACATCAGAATTACTGAATGAGGATCTGCATTTTAACCACATTCCCAGGTGATTTGTATGTCCATGCGAGTTTGCGGAGCCGGCCTATGGCACTTCTGTGAGTGGAGAAGGGGACAGAAGTAAGTCTTGATGAACAGAGGTAAAGAACTCCAGTTGCAGGGACTTCCCTGGCGGTCCAGTGGTTAAGACTTAGCCTTCCAGCGCAGGGGGTGTGGGTTCGATCCCTGGTCGGGGAGCTAAGATCCCACATGCCTCGTGACCAAAAAAATCGAAACATAAAACAGAAGCAATATTGTAACAAATTCAATAAAGACTTTAAAGATGGTCCATATCAAAAAAATCTTTAAAAAAAAAGACGTAATGGGAATAAAAATTTGATATATTACACTTAAAAAAAAAAGAACTCCAGTTGTCAACAAGGGTAAGGAGGGTGATCCAACCCATTTACCCTGTATGCCAGGGAGATAAGAACATCTTGAGATTTACTTCATGTTTATTCTTGTTTTTCTGGAGTCCATTTCTTTCTAGCCTAGTGAGTTATCAATAAAATAAGCCCTTTAAGAACGTGTGTGTGTGTTCTGAGAACAGTTGGGAAAGGGTTCTCGGAAGATGTTTGCTGCCCAGCAGTCTGACTTGGAACATGGGAGCCCCACGAGAGAGTAGTAGCTGGTGGTAGTTGTGACCAGGAGGAGCACACCCATAGAACCCGGGATCTCATGGAAGGGTCTGGAGGCTTAGGAGCTGAAGGGATGTGTGCCCCCTCTTCATAAGATGTAGGTAGGAGCAGGTGTGATCAGTGGGTAGGTGGGTCGTGGCAGCGGTAGTCGTGGTGATGCCGATATTTGAGTTGAATGATAGAACAAGGGGTTAAGAAGATTGGGGGCAGTCTGGAACCATGGGCCTCAGCCAAACTCATTGGAATTTAATCAGGGTAAATCCAAAGTTCTGCACTTGTTTTTAAGCAAAGAAAGAAATGGCAGGTAGGAATAGCTGAAACTCTGAAAGGTGTGTTGACAGCCTGTCTCTAGGAGCTCTGTCAGAGTAGTCACATGCAGGACAACTGAAGAAGATGAGTTGTTCAGCTTGGAAATGAGTAGAGGAACGCAGGCTAGGACGAGTCCTGTGTGGAAGAGGGAGTCAGTCCCTTTGTGTAGGGGAATGTGTGGAACTTTTATTCGAGGGTAGAAGTTAGCAGGTAGACTGAATCCATGTTTGTTTGTTTGTTTGTTTGTTTAACATCTTTATTGGAGTATAATTGCTTTACAATGGTGTGTTAGTTTCTGCTGTACAACAAAGTGAATCAGCTATATGTATACATATATCCCCATATCCCCTCCCTCTTGCATCTCCCTTCCACCCTCCCTATCCCATCCCTCTAGGTCGTCAGAAAGCACTGAGCTGATCTCCCTGAATCCATGTTTGAAAAAAAGAATTTTCTAACATTTATAGCTGTTCCAAGACTGAAGAACCAGCCCTGTGCCTGCGTGGGTCTGAGTAGAGGATGGATGTTCTGGCTGGGATGTTACAAGGATGTCCTCTGTCAGGCGGGGTCTTCCACACGTGGTGGTCTCTTGCTCAAACTGTGTAAAGTATAACATATTCTTTAGACAACTACGTTGCAGAAGAAACATCGCTCTTAGGCCATAACGTTTTTGGTCAATTTCTAGACCTGATTGATCTCAGACCTGGGTTGGAATATGGTCTGTAAACTCTGAAAATTTCAGCCAAGTGTGTGAATGTGCAGGGGTATATTTTCTCAGGGGAGAGGGGCTGTGGTTTTCAGCAAATTCTCAAGAGTATTCATGACCTCCCAAATTTAAGAAGCATGCTCTACCTGAGCTGTCCAATATGATAGCCATTAGCCATGTGTGGCTACAGAAATTAAAATTAATTAAAATTAAATTCAGGAACTCAGGCACACTAGCTACCTTTCAAGTGGTTTGTGTGTTAGATTTTTTATCAATATGAGTAGTTCTACTGGACATGGAGTTTCCCTGCGTGGTCTCTGAACCCTCACTGAAGACTGTTTCTGGGTTGGGGACATAGCTGTCCCAGTTGGTTATTCCTGGAAGGATATTTTGGGATAGGGTTCCTGTTCCCACCCCAAGGTAAGTGGTGAGGGGTATGGAGGGGGCAATGCTTTCCTGGGTTCTAAACAACCCAAGGCAAAGCTTATTGCATTTTTTTTTTTTTTTTTTTTTTTTTTTTTACTGAGCATGCTCTCTTTATTTATTGCTTCCCTTGAAGGCATGGGCCATGTTTTAATTATCTGCTGTGGGGAAAAACAATAGGAAAGCGGTGTGGCTCCCCATCTGAAGGCCTCTCTGAAGCTGCCTGGGGGAAAGCGGCTTCTCCCACCCTCACTGGTACCCAGCAGCCCTGGTGAACCTTGCCTGAGGGTTCTTACTCGGGCACATGCCCCACCCCAAGTCAGCAGTCACCTCTCTGCCTTGGGCCTCTCATCCTGGAGAGGGGAGTGTGGTGACTGGGTGAGTTGAAAGACCACATCAGGGGTCTCAGGAGTTGTCACTAATTCCTCCTCCCCTTCCCATCACTTCTTTATAGTTCCCTTGTGGATTGAGGGCAGGATGCTCAGGAAGAGAGAAGGTGTTGGAAAGGAATACGACCCCTTTATCTACCTTGAGCCCTGCTGCACTTTGGCTGGGAGAGTCCTTTAGGGTTGCTTTGGGCCTCTGCCTGAGTGTGTCTGTGCAGGGCCCAGGCTGCTGGCACACCTGGAGTGGACACACCCCTCTGTGGCCTTGTCTCCTGTCATTTGCTTAAGAAATCTGATAACCTAAGTTTTTATTAGTCACTGAGGGAGGGAAAAAAAAAGCCGGCGCCCAGTGTGGGTTAACTGGCCAGCCTTCCGGTGACCACAGGGGGTTGCTTGCTTGCTTCAGGTCGCACAAGCTCTGTTCCTGCACTGCTGGCTCTGACCTGTACATGTTCTAACTCCCTTGTGCCCTGTCTCCCCACACCCAGCCAGGGAATTCGTGGACAGAATAATGCACCTCCCACTACTAGTAGAGCAGCAACTCTAGATGCTCCAAATGGAAAGGGAGTTGCATTAGGTAGAGTCATTTGGGAGCATTTGCCAGAATGCATGTGTCCCATAGTCCCCCACCCCATTTAATTACTGCCAGAGGAAGCCTCAGGAAGGGGTGTGGAGATGCTGGGTCAAAAACAAGTAGCAAGGTACCGGACCATAGAGCCTGTTCCCTTCTGAGCCTTTCTTGTGGGAAGGACACTGGGTGGCTCTCTCTGGTCTCATTTTGTTCTGTCTTTTTATTGATTTCTCTGCCCTTTAAGAGTAAGCTCTGGGTACCCCAGTTCCCTGCTTGATGCTGGGAATGATCCTGGAGCCCCAGAAGAGAGAGGGAATGGCATCCTCTCACCATTAGCCTGGGTCCTGTGTGGATGGTTGACGCTGCAGGATGCGGTGGGGGTGTTGGGAGCCAGTGAGAGGAGAAGAGCTGGTGCTAGGAGGATACGGAGGAGAGGCACCTTCCTGGAATGCTTCCTCAGTCCCAGGACCTCCAGTGTCCCCTGTGCCGGGGGAGGGCAGCTTCTCTCTCTGGCGTCGCTTAAGTTTCCAGAGACAGGACGTCATCTGCTTTGACTGGTAAACCTGCAAGTTGCCTTCCCAGCCTCCTTCAGCACATCTCGCCTGGGACTGGCTGTGTGCGAGGCGCTGCGCTGAGCCTGAGCCGTCGGTAAAGGGGAGGCAGCATTTACTGTGTCCTTAATGAGCTCACAGTCTGGGGAGGGAGGCAAGCGTGGCAACAAACTATTAGTCTGGTAGGGCTACAAGGGAGGGATGCCTTGAGGGCAGAGACCAGCCTTAGTCACTGTTAGGTGGAGAGAGACCATCGTGGAAGGGAAGGGACCTGTTTTGAGAGTTTCAGCGTAGTGATATGTGAAAGATGAGGGGGGGTACTTCTAGGAGGAGGGAGGCATCTCCCCTGAAACTGAGCTGTGCAGAGATGCTACTCGAATGCTCACGGCTGGCGGCAGTGGTGTGGAAGGACGCAGACAGACCACAGGGCACCAGCTGAGGGTGTTCATGGATCCTCAAGGTGGAAGGTAAGATGCTTTGTGTTAATTATTCTTGGAAGTCTTCCCCTGGGGCTGCCCCCAGGTTTCTAAACCACTCAGTATTCCTGTCTCACCTTCTCAATGAAGGTTCTGTGTTATTTGCTTGGATCTTGGAACATTTGGTGGTCCAAGGCTGTTGAATTTGGGGTGGGGAGACCGTGATGAGGTTCATAGAATATAAGACCTTCTTACAAGCATTTAGGATGGCTTGTGGGGTGTGGGCAGAGCCACAGCTGCTGCTTGTCAGCCTGGGGGGGTCTGGGTGCATTCTGTTTGTTGGTGTGGAAATACGCAGGTGGAGTTGCTGGCTGGCTCTGTTTTCCCTCTGACATCACTGGGTGCCTGAGTCCAGTCTGGTTCTATTGCATCTCCAGGGAGGAGCACCTTTTCTTCCTTTGCTGCTGTTCTTTCACCTCCTTGTCTTTCTCCTCCCCGAGATTGCCGTTGATACAGACTTCCGCTGCCAAAGCTAATTGTGAGGCCTGATCTGTGAATGAAGGCAAAGGCAGTTCCCATGACAACTGCAAAGAGTTTGAAATATAGGGGATGATGTGTGTGTGATGGGCTGCAATTACTTGGGTGGAAATTGATGTGTGGACACCGGTGACTTCAAACATAGGTTCTGAAGGTGGAGAGGATGTTGGGTTTCTTTGGCAGATCCTTTGTGTGATGGAGAGGGAAGGGAAGGTCACAGATTTCCCCCACAGTCGATTCCAAGTGCCTTCAGTGTGTGGAATGCTGGGCAAACAAAACAAAACAAAACAAAAAAAAACCCCGGGGCTTTGGAGAGGCACGACTCTAGCCATTCTGGTTGGAGAGGCAGGACACACAGAGACGGATAGCAGTACCAAGTGTCAAATGAGAAACATTGGAAGTGCTGTCAGCTGGCAGAGGTCTAGGGTAACCTGAGAAGGCTTCCTGGAGGAAGTGGGGCTTGAACTGAGCTTTGAAGTAAAGCCCTGTGGGGAGTGACCTTCTTTAGGACACAGGCACGGCAAGAGAGGAGAAGTTGTCATCTACCCCCTGCCAACTCTAGAAAAGGTAGGTTGATAAGAAAATCATAGAGCTACACAGAGCAGCACCAGCTGTATTGCTACGAGTGGCGGGGGGCGGGGGGGAGGCGAGAGCCCTGCTCAGTCTCCCGATTTTTCAGTCTGTAGAATGGGCATTAGTAATTCCTGTCTCATTGGTTTGTTTTGAGGGTTAAATAAGATACAGTACATCATGGTCCAATTATGGGGCTTGGCATGGCGTTGCTGCTTGGTTGATCCTCCTATAAACCCCCCCCCAAATCTATCTATGGATGCATCCCCATTTCCTAGTCTTTATATATCTGTGTAGGTTCTGGCCTGTAGGTAACTGTGTTTCTGAGGTTCTCTGTGTTGGGGTATTTTGTGGGTTCTGAGAGTGAGCTAATCCATTCACCTCTCCCTAGTGGGGAGGGCCGTGGCCCCATTCCTCCTGCTGGGAGTGCAGTGGGGTCTAGGGGTCATGATGGAAGGTGGGGAGGGGCCTCCAGCTCCTATGCAGAGGGGTCCCAGGCACCTCTGGGTTGGTCACTGTGAAGCCCCAAGTGTAGAAAGAGGGGCAGATAGGGGAGGGGGTCAGGTGTGAGGTGTGGAGAATGTCCCCGCTGGAGGCAGAGTGGCCCCAGCATGCACCTCTGTGTCTCCTTGGAGCTGTAGCATTCCAGGTGCTTCAGAAAAGGGCAGGAGGCCAGGGTGGGATAGAGATGGTCACAGGTGCCCTGCCTTGGGGACCACGGGCTCTGCTAGGGTGTCTGCAGTCTGCGGGGGGTGAGGCGGGACCTGTGGTTCAAGCAGAGAGTCAGGGTGGCTCTTGCAGCCTTGTGAGGAAGACGTGTGCTGGCTGAACAAGGCTCGGCCTCGGCTATAGTTCAGATGGCAGGTCGTGCCCTCCCAGGAGAGCAAGTATTCCTCTGATCCCTGGGGACCTCAGAGAACAGGCCGACCAGGAGAGTGTCCTCTACGTCTCAGTGCCCAACCCCCTGCCTCTCCACCCTCCTTGTGTAGAAACTCAGCTCAGCACATTCCAGCTCTGTGCAGAGCCTAGTGAGTGGGGAAGACGGGGCCCCTGCCCACGTGGGGAAGACGGCCGTGTAAATAAATAACTGCACTTGGTAGTGACGGCTCTAGAGGAGGCCCCAGGAGGAGTGGGTGAAGCTCCTGAGGGCTAGATGAGCTGGGAAGGTGGCAGTGGCAGGTGACATTTGGATTAAGCCTTGTACCATATTAGCTTGCCAGGTGGGGGAGAGGGAAGGGAACCTAGGCATCGCCAAGTCTCTGAGGCATGAAAATATTACTGTTCTTAGACCCATAGCTTAAAGGGAAGTGGTCTGGTTCAAGAGACCCTATCCCTCTTTAAGTTTCCCTGAGGTTGGCTGGGAGAGAGGGCTTAAAGAACTGGAATGAGAAACAACTGGGTTGGAATTCTAGCTCACCACTCACCAGCTGTGTGTTGATGGGCAAGTAACAACATCTCTAAGCCCATTTCCCCATAAGGTTGTGTGTGGACAAGTCAAATGAGATGCTCCCACAGCATGGTTGGCACAGGGCCTGGTACCTAGCAGGGGCTTGATAAACTGTGGCAGCCACAGCAGCAACAGTATTGATTGTTACTGTCCAAGCAGTGTTAGTTGCTCTTATCCGGCAGCAGACTGTATGAGGGTGGGTGGGGCAGGGGTTTTGGGGACTAGGATAAAGGAGGGACTTCACTTGGCCTGGCCAAGGTAAGAGCCAAGGGGTGCAGAAGCCCATGGCTCAGGACAATGCTCCTTGCCCTGCCTTGTCACCTGCCTTCCTCCCTGCCCTAGGGAGGAGCCCAGTAGGGCTGCTCTTTGCCCCCAGAGGCGAGGCAGGTGTGGGTCCTGGTGCCTTCTGGAGTCTCCTCACCAGAGCCCAGCTTTGCTGTCTCTCATGAGGCAGCTCGTCCCATTCTGAGTACCCCCTTGGAGCTTCAGGGAGGGGGCAGTAATTGGGCAGGTGTGGTGGAGTTGGTAGCAGAGCACATCACTGAAATGAGCTCTCACACATCCTAACTAGTCCTACAAGTCACATCTGTGAGTTGAAAAGTAGCACACAATGAGCTCTCTCAGAAATTGAGTGGTAGCTAGCAGCACCTGCAGTGTGGCAGGCACTGTGTTGCATTTTTTCACAGAATCCTCACACCTTTGTATGAGGTAGCTGCTTCTGTAAAATAGAACTGCAAAGTAGGCTAAGGGAGGTAAGGTACCACCACCAAGGTCCTGCAGCTAGATAGTGGAGCCAGGAAGCTGAACCAGATACATGAGTACCAGAGACCATATAAGGGTCCCCCTCGTAGAAGACAGAAGCTCTGGGGTGTTCAGCTACAGGGAGGGGATGGGGTGAAGCAGGATGTCTCCTGGGTTGCCTAGGAACTGCAGGGCTTTCCTCTCCCCATTCTGTTCTTTCTCCTTCAGTCTCCTGGGTGCTGCAGGCTTCAAAGGCTCAGAGTCTGGGCTGCCTCCCCTCCTCAGCCTTTCCAGGGGATGGGAAGCCCTGAAGTCTGGAGGCGCCTCCTCCTGTGGCCTTTCTAAAAGAGGAGGAAACATTGAGGGTGGTGGTGGTGGTGGTGAGGCTGTCTGGAGGGGGTGGCCTATGTTCAGGCACTAGGGATGAGTATTCCTAGGGTGAGGTGGTGTTCGTGTGCAAGGGAGGGCCAGTCTTACTTGGTGAGGCTTTGAGCCACAGGCAATGTTGGCTCCAAGAGGAAATCTGCTGGAGGGAGGGAGGAGTAGGACTGCATAATGGTTGAGAGTCTGGTATGTAGAGCCGGATAGACCTGCCTTGGAGTCCCACTGCTGCCGTTTTCTAGCTGTGTCACCTTGGGTAAGTTACTTCACTCGTCTTGCCTTGTTTCGTCATCTGCAAAATGGGGTAAAGGTTCATACTGCCAAGGCTTTATTTTTTTCTTCTGAGGCTGCAGGGGCTATTGCTTTTATAGCGCCTAGCACTGTCCTAGCTGCTGCTAGGATGAGGCAGTTTGCTGGTGTCCTAGGGCTAGAGCGTGGCCTGAGGGGGAAGCCTGCCAGCATCTGCTCGACCCCGACGCGGTCTGCCTTTGACCCTGTAGATGCAGAGGATGCCTCTGGGTATTACCTTCTGGTCCCCGACTCGGGAGTTGTTGAGGGTGTCCCGGGATTCCCCGCCTGTCGGGGAGCGGCGGCGGGCCTGGGCCACAGCCAGCTAGGCTCCGGCACCCTTGGCTGTGCCCCCGCCTCCCGGCTGGGCAGGTCCAACCCCCGGCGGCCCTGCCCCCGCTCGGCCGGCGGCGGGGATTGGCTGGCGAGCGCGCCGCCCCCTCCACACCAGCCTCGCCGGCGGCGGGGAGGGGAGCCAAGCCGGCAGCTGGCCGCCGCCGCCTCTGCAGTGCCTCCCTCCGTGCGCTCCGGCGGGGATAATGGGAGGCCCGCCGGCCGATGCACCAGAGGAGGCCGGCCGAGGTAGAGCGGGCAGGGCGGGGAGGGACGAGGCTAGACCGGACGCAGGAGGAGGGGCAGAGCCCTCCTGGATCTTGGGAGGGTGGAAAAAGGAGAAATGAAAACAAAAACACTGGAAGGCGAATGAGCCCTTCCACCGCGCGTCTGGGTGGCAGCTGGAGGCAGGAAGATGGTCCCTGCTATCCTTTCTTTCCGAGGCCCCGTGCCTCCCCTTCTCCCCCTTTCCCTGCAGCGGTGCTGGGGGTGCAGCAGAAGGACTTTGCTGCTTTCCTGCTGTCAGCCTGGCTCATCAGTCTCTCCGGCTTCTTTTGCAGGTGGAAATAAAGGCTGGTGAAGGAGCCGGGCCGTGGGGGCAAGGGGCTGCTGTCAAGGTACCTTGTGTGTGTGTGTGTGTGTGTGTGTGTGTGTGTGTGTGTGTGTGTGTGTGTGGTAGAGGTGAAGTGTTTGATGGGATTGGATAAAAATAAAGGGTCTCCTCTGGTGATCCCTTAATCTCCCACTGTGTGTGTAGCAGCAGCTGAGGGGGAGGGGCGGCGGGGGTGTGGGCGGCCAATGAATTCTCAGGCCTGTGTGGGTTTTGTTTGGATTCTTTTTGCTTTCTCAGCTGGATGGTTTGGGTGCAGTTGGGATTGGGTTTGTTGAACTGGTTTTTTTTTTTTTAAGACATGCAACCCACTCCCATCCTTGCCTCTGGAAATCTCTCGAGAATGTCCCTGCCACTGTTGGTTTGCATCCAATCTGCAGAAATCCCGGAGCGGGGGGGGTGGGGGGGGTGGGGGAGAGGTTAAGGGGGAGGGGGAGTTGTGCTCCTGAGTCTGAAGCTGATAGGGTGTCATTAGTCATGCTGCTGTCACCATGGAGATGGCTGGAGGAGAGGAGGTGGTGGGGGTGAGGATATTTTGGGTAGGGTGGGGGCTGATGCAACATCATGACTGGGAATCCTGCAGGCGGTCGGCTGCTGTTACTCTGTGTAGCTTGGTGTCTGGGGGACTGGAAGGGAATGTTACCAGGTGCGTGGGAAGTGGAGAAGGGGGCACTGAGCTTCTCTGTGTGGTTGTCTCGGGGCCAGGGCTGGGGTATTTGGGGCAGGGCAGAGCCTGTGGAATATAAGCCATTACGAGGAAACACAGATGTTCCTCCCTGGTTGGCAAGGACCAGGATCAGTAGGTTTCCTTGGGCTTTGCCCTGTTTTCAGGGCTGGGGATCCGCCGTGAGTTTGGGATTACTCAGCAGTATCCTCTGCTGGCCCAGGGTGGAGAAAACAGAGCGAGAGGCAGCTCAGTGCGGCTGCCTCTCAAGTCAGGAGAAGAGGGGCTGGGGAAGGAGTGTAGGGACAGGTAGGCAAGGCAGGACTGGATGGGACTTCTAGGAGGAGGGAGCCCATTCCTGCCCCTGCCTCAGCTCTGTCTTCTCCTTCAGCCCCTGGAGCCTGCCAGGAGCTGGGGGAATCTGGTTGCTTGGGTAGCGAGTGGGTGAGCTGCTCATGTCCCCAGATGCTCTGAGATTTTTCTCCCTGGAAATCCTCCTCTGGCTTCCTGGGAAAACTGCGGGAAGCTCCCTGGAGGTGCTGGAAGTGCCACCCTCACTGCCTGGGTGGGGACACTGTCAGGGAGGGGCTCTGCTTTCCCAGAGGGGATGGGGGCTACTGGCTGAGGCTGCGGGGTGGATCAGGAGCTGGGGTGGTTCCCTGGCTTCCTCCCAAAGGAACTTACATCAAGGAAGTACTTGGGGGAGGGCAAGAAATTTGCTTCTGGGGGAAGGAGAAGAGCCAGGTGGCATTGGCTCCCCTGGGGAGCTGGGCAAGCCTTGATGAGGATGCTAGTACTGGGTGACCACCTGGGACAAGACCGTGGTAGGCCCCTGAGGCAAGCAGAGGTGGTTGATACTGGCGATGCTGTGCGTGGGGAGGAGAGAGCTGTGAGCTCACTCCACACCCCTTCTCCGGTGAAACCCCCAGGTGTCACCTCCACTTCCGCCTCTGGCCGCCCACTGCTGTCATCGATTACCTGTGTGCTGTTGAGGGCTGTGGACACGGAGATCATGGAGTACACCTGTTCTGCCCCCCGCCCTGGGGAAAGCAGGACAAGGGGATGAGGACAGATAGGCTCAGGGAAGGGGCAGCCCCCTCCCTCCTCTGTGTCTTTGGCCTTGTCAGCCAGAGCTTCTCTCTCTGCTGGGAGGAAGGACTGCTGGCAGGTTTGTTTACTCCGGAAAGCACCCCCTCCTGCCTAATGATGGCTTCTCTTCAGGTCTTTCCAAGTGTGTTCTCCTTTCCTCCCTGCCTGCATTCTGCTGTCCCTGCCGTCCTGGTGGAAGCTCCCAGCTTAATACCACCACCCTTAGTGTTGTGGGCATGGAGCAGGGCTGCCTGGAGAAACAGAGGATGCCCTTCAAACATGTCTTCCTCCTTCCCACTTCTCAGAGTGGGGCCTGAGCTGGCGGCGTTTTTATTATTCATTTATTTTAAGAAATGTATTTATTTTGGCTGCGTCAGGTCTTAGTTGTGGCACGCGGGATCTTCGTTGTGGCACGTGGGATCTTTCGTTGCAGTGCGCGGGCTCTCTAGTTGTGACGCGTAGGCCCTAGAGCTCACGGGCCCTAGAGCGCGGGCTTAGTTGCCCCGCAGCATGTGGGATCACAGTTCCTGCGTCCCCTGCATTGGAAGGTGGATTGCTAACCACTGGACCACCAGGAAGTCCCGGGCGGCGTTTTTAAAGCTCTGAGGTGTTTGCGCTCGTTTTCATTGTTGTCTGTTGGAAAAGCCTAGCTTCCTCTTGGTCCAGGTTGCCACTGCCAGCAAGCACTTGGATCTGAGCCCCTGTTCCTGGTGCCACCTTCCCCCCAGATAGTTTTCTTAGGTGGCCAGTTGAGTGTGGTGTCCCACATACCCTGGTGGAGCAGTTTTGCTAGATCCTCTTCCGTCAGGAGATGGTGGTGTAGGAAGATGTGTGTGGCGTGTGAGCTCATTCAGATCAGGCAAAGACTCTGGGACACAGGACAAAGGGGTCTCCCAGTCTGTGTTCCCACAGGATGGGCACAGGATGGGTAAGCCCCCTGGGTGAAGGGTATCCAGCAACCAACGGGAATGTGCTCATCTACTGTGTGCTGAGTCCTGCAAGGGTTTCAAGAATATTCATGAGGTAGGGTGTGCGTCATGCCTGTCACAGGCATAGAGTTGAGCCTGATGAACGCACGTGGTCATTTACTGTCTAGTGTGTTACATGTCTACCCACGATACCCCGAGGAACATGCCATAGCATACGCTGTTGCCACTGCCTCCCTCTTCGCAGCCTGGACAGGAGTGAGTGCCCAGTGCCGAGAGCACCAGGCTGCCCTGCTCTCGGGCCCCCACACTGCTCCCATGCTTTGCCCCACGGGAACCCTCCACTGGCTGAGGATGTGTGGAAACTGTTTTGGAACTGTGCCCAGGATCTCTTCCTTCTGTCTCTCCTTTGGGCCACTGCTCCTTTTGTCAAGGATCTGTGATCCCCAACTTGCCACACACCGTGGGTCACTCCTACTAGTTCTTTCTCGCCTGCCCTTCCCACTCTCCAGCCCTCTGTGTGGGTCCAGCGGGAAGTCTTTTCTCTCTGAGGTATGTTTACAAGCAGTAGTGAACTTGGGGAGATATGGAAGCAGGTGAGCATATCAAATGATGGTAGGAAAGGAACCAACCAAGAGGATTTCAGAGTTGAGTTTGAGAATGGAAAGAGAGGGCTTCACCATGCATAAAAAGTGGTAGAGTTAGAGTCCCAGAGCTCAGCTCCACCTCCTTGGTGACCCCAGCCATTTTTTAATGTTGTGGGAGAGCGGGAAGACTTTGTAGTACAGGTAGGTGAGTGAGCCGAAGGGAGAGCCTTCCTGCCCACCACGGTGCAGGCCCTGGAGCTACCTGCAGGGGTCACTGTGATGGCTCCTTAGCCCCCTTGCTGGGCTGGCTGAGGAGGGACCTAGGTGCTGGGCTCCCTCCAGCTGTAGATGGACATTTCTGCTAGAAACCGTCATTGTGGTCTTGCCAAGTCCCCTCCCATGCCCCCGAGGCTGTAGCAAATAGTTTGGCTGGCTGGGGATGGGGGCAGGGAGTATAGGGAGGCCTTGGTTTGGCTCAGCTTTTGGGTATCTTGTCTTTCCCACCCTGGCCTCCTGGGCTTTTGGCCTCATTTTCTCTCCTACTCTGGCATCTGGCAGTCAGCTGAGGACTCCCCCTCGTTACCAGCCTGTCTGGAGCTTCTGAGGAGGAGATAGCTTCCTAATGGATTAGTTTAGGAAGCCTTTGGGCAAATAGAGATGGGGTGGCTGAGACAGTTAAAATCCACAGATTATCACGCTATCCAGAACTGTGATCCTCTTCCCATTCACTTTATCTCCCTTTCTTCCTCCCTTTGTCTTTCTGCATTTACTGAGTGTTTACCGTGTTCCGGGTATAGTACTAGGTCCTGAAAAATAAGAGAAATCATTATGATTTGATGTTCACAATATCACTAGAAGTAAGAGACATCGACCAAGTTGCCTAAAACTGTAACGCTGAGCGCGAAAACCATCACTGGCAGGTGTTGTCGTTGTTGTTTTTAAATACAGTAAATGCTTTTGATCTTTGTGTTGTGGTTGTGAACTAGCACGTGGCAGACCAAGCTTCTCACCCCCAGCCAGCCCTGCTCTTTACATCTGCTTTCATCATCGACTTAGTGGACCTCCTAGGACTTTGAAGGAAGAATCAACACGCCAACCGTATATTCAATAAGTTAGTGTTTCCAGGATCTGGCGAGTACAGATTAGCGTAGTGGGGTCAGAAATGGACCAGCTGAGATGATAGCTTAACTTTGTTTTGTTTTTTTTAATTTTTAAAATTTATTTTAATTTTTTTGGCTGCACTGGATCTTCGTTGCTGCACACGGGCTTTCTCTAGTTGAGGCGAGCGGGGGCTACTCTTGGTTGCGGTGCGTGGGCTTCTCATTGTGGGGGCTTCTCTTTGTTGCAGAGCACAGGCTCTAGGCGCGCGGGCTTCAGTAGTTGTGGCTCATGGGCTCCAGAGCGCAGGCTCAGTGGTTGTGGCGCATGGGCTTAGGTGCTCCGCGGCATGTGGGATCCTCCAGGACCAGGGATCGAACCCGTGTCCCGTGCATTGGCAGGCGGATTCTTAACCACTGCGCCACCAGGGAAGTCCTGATAGCTTAATTTTGAAAGGAAGGTGTTGGCTTTAGATGTGTTGGGTTTGAGATTCAGGAAAAGCTGGAAGAAAATACTGTACCTGGGCAGTTTACCTTGAACCTGAAATTGTCTTCTACTCATTTGAAGTGTGTGGGTCCTGGAGCCCTTACTGCTCTAAGGAGCGCCCATGAGGCCCCTGGCTGGGAAGAGGAGGATGAGAAGT